TAATTTATTTGTCTTTTTAAATTGTTTTAACTATGAAATAATGTGCTTACCAAATATAAAATAAAATGCCACCTTTGAGAATTTAAAAGATTTAATGATGGAGAACGAGACCTTTTATAATTAACAAATTAAAAAAACTAGTCAAGTTAAAAAGTTTAGGCTAAACCCACTAACACACATCTAGAGGGAAAGTCTAGATGGTGGCGATTGTAGTGGGATCGATGCACCACACATGGAGGCTATGCAGTGGTGGTAGCAACAATGACAATGGTGGAGTGATAACAGTGGTAGTGGTTCGGAGTAAATATTCACATAAACGTCGTGTCATTTTTCTCCTACCTTAAATATAAGTATTACAACATCGGTTAATTGAATTGAGCATTGAGCCTTATGACGTATTATGATTTTCAATGGAGACATTTCGTGGGAAGGGACCATTATTATAATCTTTTTTTTGATGGGAAGAGACCATTATTGGACATATAGCAACATCTTATGGTTGCTTCTATTAACGACTACATCAACTAAATTAAATGCTAAGTTGGTATCATTGGCACCCACCGAAAAAAAGAAAAAAAAACAGGTTACAAGATGTGCCATCAAAATCTTGGTTGTTGCTAGGTCTGTGAATGGATCCAATTTTGTTTCGAATTTAAATTCTATTAGTCGGATACGAATTAATATTTTATATCGATAATTCAAACCCGAATTTGGATCCGAAATTTTATATTTCATAGATTCAGATTTTGATATACCTATATCCGATCTGATTATGATTCGATCCAAATTATTTATATATTTTTATATAAATAATAAAGAAATTAAGTAATTATTTAAAAAAATTTATTTAAAATTTAGTTAATTAAGTTATTCGGATCAAATTAGATTTTCGGAATGTTAGCAAATTTGGATATGAACCACAAAAATAAAATTCGTCAAATTTGAATCAAATTTTTGAAATCGGGATGAGAATCCAATCTCTTGACAAGCTTAAATTGTTGCTATGACATCAGACACATTTTTGTGTCATCGGAAAACATTCAACTTAATCTGTCTTTGTACTTTAAATGATTAGTTGACGTACACGTGTATTACACTTGAACCTAAGATTTGAAACTTTTGACATGAACATTATAATGTAGACTAATTTCAATTTTGATACAGGCCAGCCCTATTGGTTCAAAATAAAAGCGGAGGCTTTAGGCCTCACATACGAAAAAAGGCTCTAAATTTAAAAATTAATAATATAATATAAGTTATAAAATAAAATTTACTATAATATTGCCTAAAAAATTAATTTTTGAAAGAGTAATCCAACACAAAAATTAAAAATTTGGGCCTAAAAGTTCAGACCTTATCACACAAATAACATTTATTAAAGGACAAAAAAGATTAATAAAAAAAATATTGACAAAATCTATCTCTTTCTTTAATTGAAAGAAATGTAATAAATATCTCTCTTTAGTAAAAAAAAAAAAAAAAAAACCAAACACATTATTTACTTATCTTAAACTTGTTTTTTTTGTTTTGTTCTCATTTGAACGCAAAATACCAATTAAACCATTTATTCTTATTAAAAAAAAAATATTTTGATAAAGTTCTTATTCGTAACAAATAAAATATAATAAAAACTTAGGTGAAAGTTGCATGGATAAATAAATAAAATTCAAAGATAGTAAAATAACTCAAAAGAAAGATAATAATGAATTTATTTATAATAAAGTCAATCATTTAATTCCACAGTTTTGATAAAGAATATATAAAACAAATAAAAAGAACATAAAAATATTAATGAAGAAATTAATTTTATTCCTATAAATATTTATGATCAAATGTCATATTATTAATTAAAAAAATATATTAGCAAAATTTAAATAAAAAAAATTAGTAATTTCAAATATCATCAAAAAATAAAAATAATAAATTTTAAATTAAAAAATTAAATTATTATTAACCGTCGTTGCTTTAGGCCTCAAATCTCGTTATGCCACCCCTGTTTTGATATAATGGTAATGATGAACATTAAGGATCAAGAAACACGTATTGATATCATTTAAATGCTAGAAAAATCATGTCACAAAACATTTTCTTCAAGTTATAGTAATCCCAAATGAATCCAAGTATTGAATTATCTCGACCAGTAATTAGATAATGGCTAGCTTATAATTTTTCTTAGACAAGCTCGAGTAGCCTGAAAATGCATTAATAAATCTAATGGCAGAACTCCTTTCCTTAGATAGGTTCCCCTAAAATTTGTGTTGAAGTTTGATGATAACATTTGGTTAGTAAGAAATTTGATGATATAAGCTTGCAAGAGTGTGGGTCGAGCTGAAGCTCCTAAATCCTTGCTTGAGTGCTTCTGAAGCTCCAACTAAATATAGGAATAGGCTCGATTACTGAATAAATTGATGAATATTTTAAACTTAAGAACCAAACAATTCTCAATTAAATAAATCGAATTCCAACATCACAAAAAATAAAAATTAGTGTACGACTGAAATGGGGGATTGGACCTAATGTTTTCATTTTATTGTTAATTTTTATCTAAGTCAAAACATTTCTTCGATTGTTTGTTCCAATGATTATTTGTATAGGAAAGAATAAGATACGACCCGTAAGTTATTTATTGGATACTCCCCTAATAGTTGTTGACAAATGATTCATTCAATGATCGTAATTTTTTCTTCTAAAATATGATAAATCATAATATCATTGCTCTAACGAAAATTTTCTAATGTTTGGCCATATTATTTGAAGCTAACTACATAAATTAGATCGAAACTTATTTTCATCACTGTAAATTCAACATCTATGAGAAAAGACAATCCACTGAAAAATTCAAAGGGCATCTCAAACTCTAATAAATCCAACTACCCATGTTAACATAATAACATCCTTTTAGAGAATCAAGTATTGTATAACCATATGTAGCTAGGATCACGTTTCGTCTTTGACACTATCTCAACTTCTCAAAATTCTTGATTTTCCCCCAAATTTTAAAATTTGAAGTATTAATAACTACAATTAAAAAAGGAACAATAAAGATAAATCCTAGTTATGCAACAGAAAACAAAAAAGTTGTTTAAGGCTAACAAAAGCTTCAAGTACAAAAATTTCCTAGTTTTACTCATTTTAAGGTAGCCTGGACATTTTTTTATTTGAACAAGCTGATCCAAACATTTGTAATTCTAATATGTATAAAAGAATTCAATAGTGCGGTAATATCCATCGGTTAGAGTTGTCTAAAAACACAAATAAACAATAGCACATATATTAGACTTACATATGAAAACATATATAGATGTAATGAATTTTGAGCACATCAAAATATGATTTACACGGATCCAAAGCTCTCTCAACGCATAATAGAACATTATAACAATGAAGAGTGCCGTGCACAATCGAGTTTAGGTAACTAGATTAAGGCTTTATCGGGAAGACCTACAAGCAAAAGAGATTTAAAGAATGCTGGAAAAAAAAAAAAAGCAAATTCACCCAACAAGATGGTAAATCCTCTAGACCTCGACAACAACTGCAACAACAGTGAGACATGCCTACCGCCAAATCGTTATTCGGAAAGCACACACACGACAGTGTCATCCTGTCATCTTGCAAGAAATGAAAGTTGCCTTAAATGCACAAAGCGTCGGTTGCGATGATGAGCCAATAACCGACTACTTTCGAGAAGAGGATGCAACAGAAAGCGATAAAAAAGATAGAATTACTGAGCAGTAAGAAGAAATTAGGAACAATAAATTTGAGAGGAAGAAGAAGAGAGAATTGTTCATAAGTAACAAAATTAATCAAAAGTTTTTGAGTATAATTACACTAAGTAAATAGTACTATAATGCGTATTGTGAAATATTTAATGACTCTTTTTATATCATCAATGTCACAAGTGTTTGGTATTCCAATTCTAATGGTGATGTTATCATTTGTAAAATTAAATTTTGGAGGATAAAAGTGTCCAAATAAAAATTTTCATGTATCTTGACATTTTAAAATACTATAATATAAATATTTAAAATCCTCAATTTATATACCAAAGCTCAATTTGAGCTCGGGTCCCGTTGTATTTTTTTTTACGGCATTGAAAATGCAATTTAAGAACTAAAATATTTTAAAATGAAGATTAAGAATTCGAGCATCTTTTATTCTAGAAAGTGGGATAAATCATTAACCGGTGAACTAAAAAAATAAAATAAAGTAAAGGACAATGTTCAATATAATTTATGCAAAAGGAAAATCCAGAAGCACTCATAGTGGCCATTTGCTGGAGTGGACTTCATTTACAAAGCAGGCCATCAATGGGACAATCATGCACTGGCTAGGTGGTGAGGCCAATATCTTCAGAAGTAGAAGACATGAGAGACAGGGTCCATCACCCCAGTATTGGCTAGTAGTAGGGATGATAATTTCTGCGAAAATATTGGGTTAAGTTTGATTATTTCTCGATATGAACCGTAAATAACACGACCCGTTAACACGAATAATAAATGGGTTTGACAAAATTGATACGATTAATACACGAATAATAAAATGCTAAGTATTTGTTATTGTTTATTAAAAATTGATATAATTATTGTAAATTTTTTTTTTTACTCATTATTATTGTTATGTCAAGTTTTAATTTATAAAAAAAATATGAGCATGAATTCAATTAATTGATAATAGAATCTGAGAATTAAATCTTAGCATTTAGTTCTTTATTTTATATGAATCAATATGAATATGAACCCAAACCTGATACCAAAATAAATTGGTCAATCGACACAATACAATTAATCTAATAGATTAAATTAAAGTTGAATAATACTTGTGAAGTGTGATGAACCCATAATAAGCCCACACGATTGCCTGCCCCAGGTAGAACTAAATTGGGAAGGGATGGGCCTTGCTGAGTACTAGTTTTTATGGGCTACGAAATGAGAGAATGGGCTGGATAGTAGGCCCATAAGGGAGCAACCCTAAAACAAAAAGCTGCATCGTCTTTGTCCCTTAGACCTTTTGTCTCGCGAAGTTTTATCTTCACAGCGCTTATCACTCCTCCACCACAAGCTCAACCACCAACCAGTCATCATGCCAGGTCCCGTCGTCGAGGAAGTTGAAGCCGAGAAGAAGCTTCAGGTAGTAATACTTTGCACGCCTTTCCTTCCTCTATTCATCTAATGTTTTAGTGTTTACTGTTTGAGCCCTGATTGTTCAATTTGTTAATGGATTTACTATCTTACAGAACAATGAGCCAGTGATCGAGGACGTGAAAGAAGAAGATGACCACGAAGACGACGCTGAAGATTCTGACGATGATGACGATGACAAGGAAGATGGTGCTCAAGGTTGTTTCACTCTCTCTTCGTTCTAGGGTTTTTTTTATTTCTTTGTCTATATTGTTTGATTTAGTTAAGGGTCTATATATTCATTACTTTTTATGGTCATTTGGTTGATCTAATAATACGCAAATACGCTTGAAATATGCACTAGGTTTTAGCAGTGAATTTGTGAAGTGATAAATAGAGGATTTTCTTTGGATGTAATGCTATAGTTCTCTGTGGATTTGGGTTTGTTGGTTAGTTTAATTGATTTGGATTGTTCTTTATGTGGACGTAGAATTATTTGTTGAACCATGTTTGGTCCGTACAGTGATTTGTATGGATTTTGGATTTTTTTGTTCCCATTGTGATTGCCAATTATTCCAGACTTGGTATAGTAGCAGTAGAGCCCCTATGTCAGTTTGAGCTCATCTATTTTTGTTTATGTGGGAAAATGTTTGTTGCCATGTTATGGGTACTTCTCTTGCTGCAGAGCTAGTTTCGTTGAAGGTTAGACATTCATAATTAAAAAATTAAGCCTTTTCCTTTTTATTCAGTAATCATAAGCATTTGCATTCTACAACTTTCGGATTGTGATTTTTGTTTGGTTTTTCTATTTCATTTCCCCTGTTTTTGGGCCCTCAGGAAATAAGTTTTTGTTCTTATTTTGGAACTTATCTTTGGAGATCTCTTTTACTTCTAACTGCTTTTACGTGTGAAGCAGAAGAATAACTGTGATTCGGATGATGATGTGCTTCATATACATCTCTTGGATGTCCTCTGCCTGCCTTTTCTCTTTTCTTTTCTTTTAGTAATTGTTTGTTTATTTATTTTTTTTCTGGGTGGTGGTGGGGGTTGGCGCTGTCATTATTTTAGGATTGTGCTGTATTATGGCCAAACAACCATCTATATCATCAACCTTTGGAACTCCTCATTGGTTATCTTGTAATTTGTAGACTATTTATGAGTTTTCCTACGATCTTTCTCATTCTTGCTGAGAAAACTTTTTTTTTTTTTTTGGACCACTTAATGAATTCCATGTTTCTCACCAATACTTCTGAAGATAAAATGTCGTGATTTCTGGCTTACTTTTTGGCTGCCAATGCTGCCTTATTAAGCTGTCTCCTGATTAGAAATCAACCTTGTTTTCTTGATTCATGCAGCAGGGTACTTTTCTTTCTGATTGTTTGCTTCAGAGTTGTTCTTTGTTCAGCTATTTTTGTTCAACAAAGACAACTAATGCTTCAATAATAATGTAGTTAATTTTGTTTAATAATAATATTTCTAGGATTTTCCCAAAATAAAATTGATTGGAGAATGAGGCGCAGGTACCAACGAGAGTTCAAAGCAGAGCAGAAGTGAGAAGAAGAGTCGAAAGGCGATGTTGAAGCTGGGCATGAAGCCTGTTACTGGTGTTAGTAGGGTCACCATAAAGAGAACCAAAAATGTAAACCTTTGTCTGATTTTTTGTTTGTGTTGTTGATTAGCTTTTGTGATGGGTGGCCTTGTACTGATTATTTGATGGTATTGCAGGTATTATTTTTCATATCTAAGCCTGATGTATTTAAAAGCCCAAATTCTGAGACCTATGTCATCTTTGGAGAGGCGAAGATAGAGGATTTGAGCTCTCAGCTGCAGACTCAGGCTGCCCGACAGTTCAGTATGCCAGACGTGGGATCTGTAACGACAAAGCCAGAGATTTCCACCGCAGCAGCTCAGGCTGATGAGGAAGAGGAAGAGATTGATGAGACAGGGGTGGAGCCGCGTGACATTGATTTGGTGATGACACAGGCAGGGGTCTCAAGGGGAAAGGCTGTCAAGGCTCTCAAGACTCACAGTGGAGACATAGTTAGTGCTATTATGGAGCTGACTACTTAGGTAGGATCTTTTATTGATCTTGAAGTGTTGCTCTCTGTTGACGGAGTTTTGGAAATGATCATACTACTTTAATCATCGTTGGTACATTAAACCCCCTTACTGGGTAGTTTTATTTCATTCTTTTCTTTTTGTTTGGAATTGCAAAGAAGGCTTTATGTGCTTTTCTATTACTGGTTTTGCCTTCATTAAAGGATTATATGATACCACGGATGAGAGTTTGTAATGCTTGATAAAATGGTTGACACTTGCTATACTTGCATTCCTATTATTCATCACCATAGGAGCTGACCTAGTTGGTTGACCATCCCTTTCGTTTTGTTTTACTTGTTAGACCAATGTGCTGTGTATCTGCATTGGATTGCCGATGAGAGGTCTAGTGGCATGGCTTGCTTAGATTGAAGAGTATAAGAATTATAACATGACTGCTGATATTTGTGTTTGGTTTTTTAGTTCATTGTTGCAAAATTCTGTTTCCAATTATTATCATTACTTCAAATTGCATGTTAGTAATCATGTCCTTATGATTTGGCCATGAGCAGGATCTGTATTTGGACTGTTTGATTCATTGTTGACAAAATTTTGGCTCGTAAAAATTGGATTTGGCGATTCAGAAACTTGGGGGTGAGGGGGTTGGAAAATTAGCTCAGTGAAAAAAACAGAAAACATAGAAACGGGGAGTGTTCAATGTTAGACATAAATTTGGCAAGCAGACCAGTTTTGATTTGATCCCAAATGTAATCTCGTGCTCATGTGGTGTTACCATTGGCTTGTACTGTCACAAATTTTGTAGAAGTGGAGTTTTGCTAGTTTGGGCTATCAAATATAAAACCAATGGTAGACCATCATGAGCTGTATTGATATATCTTCCATTCTTAGTTTCTCATGCAACAAAACAATAATAGATTGATTCAGCCATTGATCGAATCAGATGTACCATAGAGACCATATTGACTAAAAGTGAGTAGGGTCTGGCGTCGGTGGGACAGTACACCACTGGTAGCTGCCATTAAGTTTGTCACTTTTATTATGTTTAATTAATTATTTTTACTATTATTTGAAAGCTGACGCTATGTTGCTAATAGAAAATGCTGAATGAATTCTTTGCTTGTACAAGAAACACTGAAAAAATTTATCCACATCTGTAGTACATGATTTATATTATTATTCGATATTGTTCAGCTGTTGATCACTCTGCATTTTGCTCGAATCTCTCCGTTATTACCTGTTAGCACACCAATTCGACCCATCTTCACCATTGCATCAGCAAAATTTCTACTCCAAAGCATGGGGTTCCTAACATTTTGATTCACTTGGTTTGCTGTGGCTGTGTTTGTCATGAGAGTTTGGTCTGAACCGAACAATCCTTTGTTGGCTAGAATGTCCCTGTAGTAGCCTACGTCTGTGGTACTTGGGCTTAATGTGTCCATTGGAACCACCAGATTAGGGTTTGTGCTGCCCTGTGGGCATTGCTGCTTCAGCTGGGTTGCATATGTGGGATCTAGACTTGGGTCCTGACTCACCGTTGTGTTGAAGCTGTACAGTCTGGCGCTGAAGGAAGTACAATGAGACCGGCCAATGGTGTGTCCGCCTGTGTATCACAAAGTTATTGATTGAATAGATATGACCTAAACGATACAAGTATTTCAGGCTCTTCTCGATTTTTGCTTGTTCAAGTTCATTTTAGATCGCAAAATTAGCTAGATCTGATGAGATTCTTAAGCTCGAGTCGAATCTAAGCAGCATATGACTCAGTTTGACTTGGCTCGAGTAGGCTCCTATTTATAAATAATTTTGTTATTACTACAAAACAATCCCTTATCAAAAGATGAGGAGTCCCAAACTGATTCTCAAACAGCTCCGGGCCATATGTCTCTCTCTCTCTCTCTTCTGTAGTAGAGTTTCCTTTTTTCAAAAAAAAGTTAATGGATACTTGGGCATATTTTGAGAGATCTTAGCTGAAAGATCAACTTAAAATGGTTTAATTAGTAAAAGTTTTGCTGAGAGGTCGATTTCTAGGCGAGTTTAGCTCAAATGCTCACAAGCTCATAGCTTGCACAAGAATCTAAACTTCACAGTTGAACTCAGCTCAAGTTCAAGCATCTCGAAGACGGGAGAGAATGATGATTAGGCACTCTTACCGGAAAGCGTCACCATTTCTTCTTGAGTGAATCCCTTGTTTGCAAACATTTGAGTGAGTTGGTTGACGTTTAGTGTAGGAGCAGGTAAGTTCGCTTGTATATCAGAAGCTAACGAAATNTCACAACCGAGCCGAGCGTGAACATATTCGATAAGCTCGGGTCGATCAACACCTCTGAGGATGGACGGGAGAGAATGATGATTAGGAACTCTTACCGGAAAGCGTCACCATTTCTTCTTGAGTGAATCCCTTGTTTGCAAACATTTGAGTGAGTTGGTTGACGTTTAGTGTAGGAGCAGGTAAGTTCGCTTGTATATCAGAAGCTAACGAAATTCTACCGTCTCTTCTTCCACCAGGAACGTCATAGCCCAACCCTCCTGTCTGCAAGGAAAATTAGAGTTATATATGCAATTCAGTGTGCCAGTATGAGTTCAATTGCCCACAGAACAGAACCCTCCTTACCATCTCCACACTATCCCTTGCCGCAAAAGCGAGTATATCAGCACATGAGACAACTCCTTTACATGATGCTTCAAGTCTAGCCTTTGCATTATCGATGATTTCGTACCCTCGAAGACTAGGATTATTAGCTGGAGAATCTTTCTCTGCTGTGTTTGAAGGAGTGGAGTCAATTAGCACTGATCCATCACAACCCTACAAGTACCATAAAATCCATTAGATCTCAAAGACCAGTGGAGTAACTGTTGAGTTTCATCAACAGTAACTGATCAAATTGTATGCCAAGATGGAAAATGGAAGAAAGTTAAAGCTTTATTTGTAAGAGATATTCAAGGAATTGTAACATACATTTACTTACCCTCACAAAACAATCATGAAAATGCATTCTGAGGAGGCCAGCGGCCATGCCTTTGTCACTACTAACCCCTTTTCTAACCTCATCTTTAACAATGAACTCAGCCATACTGCATGAAGCAGCGTAAAACCCTACTTGAAGCTGAGCTTTCAGCCGAATACATTGGCATAAAACCAAGACCAAAACCAAAATAATAGACATGCAATTGGGTTTCTTGGTACTCATCTTTCGTGTAGAAGTTGATTTGTGTAAATGGTTTATGACATTATATTATAGCTATATATAGACAATTGAGTACGTGTGTAACTTTTTGGTCAGTGAGTACATATAATATTGAATGGACATGTTATGTGCCCATTCATGTATTATAATGGATTAGTGCCATATGAGAAGGCAATAGGCTGGAATGTCGTTTTTACTTGATTGGCTTAATGATCAGTAATTAAGTGTTTTGGAAAAGAAAACGAGAAGACAACTGGAATGCATGAGTTTGACAATAATTTAGTGTATAATGTTGTGAAAAAATGTTATTTTATTGTGGTACTAGACGTTTCCAACTAGGGTTTATGCGGTAGCTGGATTAAAGTTAAAAATCATGAAAAAGAAGATTTGTGTTGACTTGAATGCATTAATAGACAAGAATATAATTGGTTAGAGATTGATATATGGGATTTGGGTAGACTAAAGTGCATGAAATTACAAGGATAGTGGTTAAGATAGATCCATAAAGTATGTTTTATGCTCACTGATTAGTGTTCTTGATGGGTCTGCTTGTTTTTAATTTTGGGGACAGTGGTGGGCTGCTGGTTTGTTGCTTTGTGGTGTCAATACCCATCTTTTTATATTGAGATATTTGGAATTCATTAAACTTTTACATCGAGTTGATTGAACAGAAAAGCTTGTAGGAGATAATTATGATCACAGCAATGTTCCTAAGCAAAATTGCTTGCTAGCTAGTAAAATATATGAAGAATGAGGAAAGTTAAAGATGATTATCAGTTACAATACTAAATATAGGAACATGAACATAGTCTGATCCCAACAGAAAAAAGGAACATTAATACAATCAGATCTTGGTAATATTAAAAAAGAACAAAACAATAATGCCATTGTCTTCATCGATACCATGACATCGATCCATGATATTGGGAAAATGTTTCAGCTTTGATATAAAATCTTAGCTTCGCCGTAAATCTTTTTAGAAACGATTCTAATGTATTTGTTGAGTATTATAAATCAACCTTTCTCGATTTAAAAATGTTTTTGTCCACTATTAACAAGACTTTGCTTGAGTTGTATAACGGATTAAAAGAAGAAAAAAGATTTGATCAGCAAGATATATAATAATTGAATTGCATTTAGAACATTCACATACTAAACTGGTCTTACATTTTTCCATATGAATATGCATCCAGTGATCTCTCCATAATTCCTTGATAAGATTGCTTGAATACAACACACCACAAAACACTAGCTTTTCTGGGTTATTAATAACATATTGAAATTAGTTGGATTAACCAGTCGTTTTATTACCATTAGCTTATTGAGCCTTATGATCATCATAGGCTACTTATTTTAGTAGTGCACTAGGGATGGTATGATCAAACACCTATTAGTTGATAACCGTACAATCTCTTCTAATTTCTCCATCAGTTCCTGTAAGCACTTCAATCCGACTCATCTTGATCATTGCACCAACGAAATCATCCTGCCAGTCAGACGGATTGAATGCATATGATTTCACTTCTGAGGTGGTGGCGGCGCTGGTAGTGAGAGTCTGGTCGGATGTAAACAAGCCACGATGAACCAGAACATCTATATAATAGCTGTTGTCGAGAAGAGCTGGGCTGATGTTCATGTCAACTACCAAGTTAGGATCAATGTTTCCTTGCGAGTCTCGGGGACATTGCTTCTTCAATTGTGCTGCATATAGGGGATCCAAGCTGGGATCTTGACTATTAGTTGGGCTGAAATTGTATAATCTGTTTGCAAATGATGTGCAATGAGAGCGACCAACTGTATGTGCTCCTGTTCACATCCATCAAATAACTAATTTAGGAGTTTGAGGTTCAAATATACAAGTTTCAAACTCGAAACACCAAAAAACATACAACTTATAGGTAGTGAACTCATTTATAGTATTATCGAGACTTTTTTGCGTTATTTTTCCTTCTAATATTAGATTCCAACACGTGATATCTAGACAAGTTTAGCTTTGTAGCTTATGCACAAAAGAATTTGTGTACACGTGACAAAATGCACAATGTATAGTAGAGAATTACATGACAGATTAAGACCGTCGAAAATAGCGCTAGTGTCAAAAAATTTCAGAAGACCCAATTTTGAAAAATTCTCGACGATCTGAAAAGATCGAAATATACATCTTTCACATCGTCATTTTTAAGGGAAAAAATGACATCATGAGATTCATGACACTTTTTAGATATTTTTCTATCTTATCCAGTTGTTTATGATATTCTCGTAGTATTGTTTATTTGCTTGATTTTTCTAATAATTTAGGATCATTAGTATTTCGTATTTATATTGTTTTAAGAAAACTGATAGACGAATTCTTTTTTTCTTCCTTGGTATTCTTCGTGAATCAACAAGGCTTTTAAAGGCTTTAATCTAATATTATTGTGATAATCAATAGGTTATAGTTTCTGTTGTTTANCGACTCATCTTGATCATTGCATCAGCGAAATCATCCTGCCAGTCAAACGGATTGAATGCATATGATTTCACTTCTGAGGTGGTGGCGGCGCTGGTAGTGAGAGTCTGGTCGGATGTAAACAAGCCACGATGAACCAGAACATCTATATAATAGCTGTTGTCGAGAAGAGCTGGGCTGATGTTCATGTCAACCACCAAGTTAGGATCAATGTTTCCTTGCGAGTCTCGGGGACATTGCTTCTTCAATTGTGCTGCATATAGGGGATCCAAGCTGGGATCTTGACTATTAGTTGGGCTGAAATTGTATAATCTGTTTGCAAATGATGTGCAATGAGAGCGACCAACTGTATGTGCTCCTGTTCACATCCATCAAATAACTAATTTAGGAGTTTGAGGTTCAAATATACAAGTTTCAAACTCGAAACACCAAAAAACATACAACTTATAGGTAGTGAACTCATTTATAGTATTATCGAGACTTTTTTGCGTTATTTTTCCTTCTAATATTAGATTCCAACACGTGATATCTAGACAAGTTTAGCTTTGTAGCTTATGCACAAAAGAATTTGTGTACACGTGACAAAATGCACAATGTATAGTAGAGAATTACATGACAGATTAAGACCGTCGAAAATAGCGCTAGTGTCAAAAAATTTCAGAAGACCCAATTTTGAAAAATTCTCGACGATCTGAAAAGATCGAAATATACATCTTTCACATCGTCATTTTTAAGGGAAAAAATGACATCATGAGATTCATGACACTTTTTAGATATTTTTCTATCTTATCCAGTTGTTTATGATATTCTCGTAGTATTGTTTATTTGCTTGATTTTTCTAATAATTTAGGATCATTAGTATTTCGTATTTATATTGTTTTAAGAAAATTGATAGACGAATTCTTTTTTTCTTCCTTGGTATTCTTCGTGAATCAACAAGGCTTTTAAAGGCTTTAATCTAATATTATTGTGATAATCAATAGGTTATAGTTTCTGTTGTTTAATCTCATTTCTTTTTCCATGCTATCCTCCGTCACAAAATATTGAAGCCTTACCTGCAAGTGCAACCATTTCGTCCTGTGTTAGACCCTTCTTGGCAAAGGCTTGAGTAACTTGATCTAGATTAAAGAAGGGAGCTGGTATGTCAATGGTTTCTGCAGCACGTGAAATCCTTCCATCTCGCCTCCCTGCTGGTACATACCAACTCTTACCGCCATACTACAGACCAAAAACAAAAATTCAGTTAAACCAAAGAATCATACAAACATTCCATGACCAGAAAGCTTGGAACTTCTTTGAAGTTTCACAGACAAAAATCAGTGTACGAGTGTATGAGGAGACTAGGTTTCTTACAATTACTGCAGAATCTCTTGCTGCAAATGCAAGGATATCAGCACAAGAGACAATGCCTTTACATTGGGCTTCAAGTCTTGCCTTGGCACGATATATTACTTCGAACCCTCGAAGAGTGATGCCATTGGGTGGACCGTCCTTCTCCGCCTCATTTCCATCGGTTGAGTTTATCAAGATAGATCCATCACAACCCTGAAATAAGATTGACAAATAACTCGAGGATTAACAAAGTACATATGTACAGCATATATAGCAGTGTTTTACATGATCAAATACAAATTTGGTGTTATCCCAAAGAGATCCGAATAGAGATAGATCCATTGATTTGGTGTTGGGGTTATCCCAGAGAGATTCAGTGTTATTCCAGAGAGACTAATCTTTTGGTTCATGGGTTTAGGAGGGTTTCATAGAGTGGGTTTTGTCAAAATAGTCCAATACATCACCTTGTTCTTTGTTAGGTTGCAAATTTCAGGTCCAGAATTTGAATCCTAACCTGTAATAGGCCCGCAAGTAAAACCCATGTATAACGGTTTCAACAAACCATGGGGCGGGTGGATTTAGGCAATTCCATAGCAAATATCTTGTGATATTTGTGATTAATCCATAAGTTTCATGTGTATTCTTGTCACTTGCCAAATATGGGATTGGATATAGTATATTGTTCAATCCCATGAACAAAACCTAAGGGTTGGTAATAAATCTAATCCAATCACTATCTTAAAAATCATCTAAACAGCCCCTAACACTTATGAAGCCAATCAACGAGTCATTAATAGATACGGTGGAAATAAACAAGAAACACGATTTATATAATCAACCCCAATGAAGCAACAATGGACTGGACATAAACAAAATAAAATGTCGGTTGATATTTTATGTATATAACAAGAGCAATGCTATTGAGACTTAATTTATTGACCTACAATGCGCTTACCCTAACAAAGCAGTCATGAAAATGCATTCTTATCAGGCCAGGGGCAATTCCCTTATTGATGAGAAATGCCTTTGCCACCTCTTCCTTTACAATGGTTTCAGCTCTNAGCAGTGTTTTACATGATCAAATACAAATTTGGTGTTATCCCAAAGAGATCCGAATAGAGATAGATCCATTGATTTGGTGTTGGGGTTATCCCAGAGAGATTCAGTGTTATTCCAGAGAGACTAATCTTTTGGTTCATGGGTTTAGGAGGGTTTCATAGAGTGGGTTTTGTCAAAATAGTCCAATACATCACCTTATTCTTTGTTAGGTTGCAAATTTCAGGTCCAGAATTTGAATCCTAACCTGTAATAGGCCCGCAAGTAAAACCCATGTATAACGGTTTCAACAAACCATGGGGCGGGTGGATTTAGGCAATTCCATAGCAAATATCTTGTGATATTTGTGATTAATCCATAAGTTTCATGTGTATTCTTGTCACTTGCCAAATATGGGATTGGATATAGTATATTGTTCAATCCCATGAACAAAACCTAAGGGTTGGTAATAAATCTAATCCAATCACTATCTTAAAAATCATCTAAACAGCCCCTAACACTTATGAAGCCAATCAACGAGTCATTAATAGATACGGTGGAAATAAACAAGAAACTCGATTTATATAATCAACCCCAATGAAGCAACAATGGACTGGACATAAACAAAATAAAACGTCGGTTGATATTTTATGTATATAACAAGAGCAATGCTATTGAGACTTAATTTATTGNCCGTGACAAAATGCACAATGTATAGTAGAGAATTACATGACAGATTAAGACTGTCGAAAATAGCGCTAGTGTCAAAAAATTTCAGAAGACCCAATTTTAAAAAATTCTCGACGATCTGAAAAGATCGAAATATACATCTTTCACATCGTCATTTTTAAGGNACGTGACAAAATGCACAATGTATAGTAGAGAATTACATGACAGATTAAGACCGTCGAAAATAGCGCTAGTGTCAAAAAATTTCAGAAGACCCAATTTTGAAAAATTCTCGACGATCTGAAAAGATCGAAATATACATCTTTCACATCGTCATTTTTAAGGGAAAAAATGACATCATGAGATTCATGACACTTTTTAGATATTTTTCTATCTTATCCAGTTGTTTATGATATTCTCGTAGTATTGTTTATTTGCTTGATTTTTCTAATAATTTAGGATCATTAGTATTTCGTATTTATATTGTTTTAAGAAAATTGATAGACGAATTCTTTTTTTCTTCCTTGGTATTCTTCGTGAATCAACAAGGCTTTTAAAGGCTTTAATCTAATATTATTGTGATAATCAATAGGTTATAGTTTCTGTTGTTTAATCTCATTTCTTTTTCCATGCTATCCTCCGTCACAAAATATTGAAGCCTTACCTGCAAGTGCAACCATTTCGTCCTGTGTTAGACCCTTCTTGGCAAAGGCTTGAGTAACTTGATCTAGATTAAAGAAGGGAGCTGGTATGTCAATGGTTTCTGCAGCACGTGAAATCCTTCCATCTCGCCTCCCTGCTGGTACATACCAACTCTTACCGCCATACTACAGACCAAAAACAAAAATTCAGTTAAACCAAAGAATCATACAAACATTCCATGACCAGAAAGCTTGGAACTTCTTTGAAGTTTCACAGACAAAAATCAGTGTACGAGTGTATGAGGAGACTAGGTTTCTTACAATTACTGCAGAATCTCTTGCTGCAAATGCAAGGATATCAGCACAAGAGACAATGCCTTTACATTGGGCTTCAAGTCTTGCCTTGGCACGATATATTACTTCGAACCCTCGAAGAGTGATGCCATTGGGTGGACCGTCCTTCTCCGCCTCATTTCCATCGGTTGAGTTTATCAAGATAGATCCATCACAACCCTGAAATAAGATTGACAAATAACTCGAGGATTAACAAAGTACATATGTACAGCATATATAGCAGTGTTTTACATGATCAAATACAAATTTGGTGTTATCCCAAAGAGATCCTAATAGAGATAGATCCATTGATTTGGTGTTGGGGTTATCCCAGAGAGATTCAGTGTTATTCCAGAGAGACTAATCTTTTGGTTCATGGGTTTAGGAGGGTTTCATAGAGTGGGNTTAAGGGAAAAAATGACATCATGAGATTCATGACACTTTTTAGATATTTTTCTATCTTATCCAGTTGTTTATGGTATTCTCGTAGTATTGTTTATTTGCTTGATTTTTCTAATAATTTAGGATCATTAGTATTTCGTATTTATATTGTTTTAAGAAAATTGATAGACGAATTCTTTTTTTCTTCCTTGGTATTCTTCGTGAATCAACAAGGCTTTTAAAGGCTTTAATCTAATATNAGGATGAAAAGGACAAAGTCGCAAATAAGTCTTGTTGAAAAAATATTTCATTGCATGAGTCGGCATTGTCTCGTGATATCATCAACTAATAATGTGTAAACAAAAAAAAAAAACAAATCCTAGACAAACGAATAACTAATTGTCCGTGTAAGACAATAACTACTCACTCTCTTCTTCACTTTGTCCATTTGGGGTTTTATTATTAGTTGGTGATACCATGACAACATTCTTGACATGGTATCACCGTTACATTGAATATTTTCTCGGTTTGGATATTATATTCTCTACAAACCAGCCTGGCTGCCTTGGTTCAATCAGTAATGACGAAAATATTAGGCATAAAGAAGCAAAAAAGGAGGATGAATTGTATGTATGTCCCAAAATGTCAAGGAATCTTTTTGTCGTTTATATATAACTCAGCAAATCCAAACTAAAAAGAAGTAAATCCGGGTGCTACTTGCGCGTTGAATATGAGATCAGTCTGAAGGGTATGGGAAGCCCTAAGTTGTTAGAGGCCCTCCTAGAGATTTAATACATAATATGGGTGGGCATTCATTGGAAAAGTAGTGCGTAGAAGACTTAAGACTTTTAACAATTGGAATGGGGATTACTCTAGTTGTAAACGCTCAATTTTCTAAAGACTTTACATTACAAAGCAAGAGATCAATTGGATGACTTACGTCCTTTTCTTTGGCATTCATTGAAAAAGTAGTACGTAGAAGACTTAATTTATTTAACAATTAGAATTGGGATTACTCTAGTGTAAACGCTCGATTCTCTAAAGACTCTTCAAGCAAGAGATCAATTGGATTACTTATGTTCTTTTTTTTGGGGTTTTAGGGTGCTCCATTTTGGACTTATCTTTATCTCTTTATAGTTATTCTCGTCTTATTCGAAAGTTAAAATAAATGATTATTCATTGTAATAGTGATGTAACAATTTATAAATGTACAAAAAAAAAAAAAAACTTACCTTTATTTGCCTCTCCATATCTTCTGATATTCATGGTATGATGGCAAGACACGTCATCTGTTCTTTAACAGGTTCACTACAGTAAACTCATTGCTACCTACGTTGCAATAGATCAAACCAAACCTTGTAGAATTCTTGAACTCGACTCCTTCGTGATGTATTTGACAACCACCACTCCCACTCTTGCCGGGTGACCATGTTTCTTAGTGATTTTGACAATCAAATAACTGAAATCAGTTCTGTTATCTCACGCAATCAATCGAGGTTGATCCCATTGGGAGCTTCTTCATCTGATTACAAATAGGAAACAATGTAGTTTGCACTGACATAGAGCAATGTAATTTATAAGTACGGATCACTCCTGAAAACAAAGAGATCAAAAGCTTTGGACAAGTTTATAGATAATCTCCTACTTACACAAATATACATCAGTTGAGGTTTTACATGTCCACTTGGCATAAAACCGAAACACAGAAACTATTTACATCTTCAGGAATACTCTTGTAGATATAATTCCATCATTTTCGCCATGTAAACTCATCCTTCAGCACATGTTCCCAATCTGATGAAGAGCTGTCATACCACCCAGAAGAACGTTGAGTAGCCAGCCCACTGTTCTTGTAAGATTGAATCACTGCGTCATCCTTGGCACACACGCGGAACTCTCTGACATTATCATGATCAGAACCATCTCTGTATGACCCAAATTTGTCTTCACAACCATTCCCAGTGTCACGCTGCAGATGAGGAGGTCCCACACCCACATCCAAGCATCCATCCTCTTGTTGGTATTCAGAAAATGGCCAACAGTTTGCCTTACCTGCAAATCCAGCATCAACAACCTCTGGCAGTTGTTTCCCTGCCATATTTATGGAATTTGAATTGTCATCACGGCATTTTAGGATATGGAATCTGGTCATGAAGGAAGCCTCAACATCATCAACGTGGCTGGTTATGCTTGAACTAGGAAAATCCCGGATGGGTGTTTTCAGTGACATTCTTTCTTTTACCATAGGTGTTAATGTGCTTGTTATGTTTGGATCAGGCAAAATCTCGGAGATTGAAAGTTTCTCTGCAACCTTAGGATTTTCTGACACATCTGAAGCAGAAGAAGATTAGAGACCATAAATGTGACAAACAGTTTTGAAGGAAGTGAGGCTAACCTTTTACTTTGTCTAGCTTGCTTTTGTCCATCTCAATTTTCATTCGCTCAAAGCGAGCTTTGTAACCAATGGAACACAATTCAGCTTCAGACTCGAGCCAAAGATTCTTATACAAGAGAGTTTGTGGCTGCCTTTCTTCATCACCATGGAAATTCTGGTTAAGGATCTCCTTTATAGCCTGCAAGTCCGGAAACATAACAATTGAACTCATATATTTGTAAAATCTTAAAAACTCTCTTTCTTTTTTTCACTCTCCTTTGCAAGAAAAGCTATAACCAATATGATCATTTCATATTTTTTTGGTCACTGAAGAACTGGGAGATATAGCATACCTGGACCATGTTACCATCGTTAGAAACTTCTGCATCATCCCTTAAAGAAACAAAACCTTGAAATGTCTCAGCTTTCTTACCAGAAATATTATTGTTCCTCTTTTCTTCTTCCGTGTGCTGAAAATCAAGCCGACCAAGCAAATTTGCAGCTGCCTTGTTCCTCATCTGAGGCTGGCTTGCACTGGCACCCTGGCAAATAACAAATTTAGCTACTTTATAAATGCTCAAAAGATTTGGAGGTTCAAAACATGATTCTTGTCTAGAAAAAAGAGGCCATATCCAGTATGGAATCCAATTTATATAAGTACAATTACTTACAATCGAATAGATAGCAATAATAGAATGTAAGTTATATAATAACCCATAGATGATTAATAAATAGAACACTCACGAATTCATGATGCCAGAACAATTTCCGTAATTTGAAACCTCAAATTGTCAATGTGACAAAAATAGTAGTGTGCTTAAAACATTTAAACAGAATAAAAAAAAACAAAACACACCAGATGCAGATCAGGTGACACAGCAATTTTATGAAAAGGGCCTTGTTGGGGAAAAGATGACTCTCCAGTTGGCATTGCATTTACCATCTTCATTGACATGCATGCACCAAGTGTGTTGGTGACATTCCTAAGGGCCTCATAATCTTGTTCTTTCAGTCTGCACATATCATTTGAACAATGGAATAGAAGCAATTCTGAAAGGTTACGCAATGCATTAACCAGCATTTGAATGCCCATTGTTGGAGTTCTTTCCCTCCCATGAAGTTTTACAAGCTCACTAGTGTCTTCTCCAGAAGAGGGTGAAGATAAGACATTTTCCACAACATGCAACGGAACCCGACCATCTTCTGAGGCATCATTGGAATTCATCCCACTGTCTTCAACCCCAGTCCGTAACTTAAGCTTTGTACATGTGAAGTTTTCCTCTTCAGGATTCAGTTGCTTGGTGTGACGAGATTTAACACAACTGTCTCCGTGGGGAAAGTCATATTCTTTCCTTGGTTTGTCAATGTCATCAGAACATAGAACTCGAATATTGCTACTCAGATTGGGAAAGTCATCTGCTTTGACAGCATCACCTGACCTCTGTTCTTTGACCAGGCAATTATCATCTAAATTTCTCTTTGGAGAAAGTGATAGACTATCATCTATATGCCAATTTTGATTGTGCATACCAATTTCACATGATTTTGAAGAAGAAAATTTCACAGAATCATTAAAGGGAGTGAAAATCTGAGATTCGTGGATATTCAAACCGATTTGTGCTTCTAAATTTTTCGTAAGATGCTGCTGAGTTGTGGCTTCAAGGACTTCAAATGGAGGAAAATGAACACCTGGGGCTCCTTTCCAGCAGGGTGAATCAACAGCAGGGTTATGATGTTCTAAACCATCTGAAGAACTCTCAGTAGACTTGACACCAGCACCATCAAATACGGCGATGATATTTATATCAGGAACCTGACAACCTGATCTTGCTTTGGACTTGTGATCTGGGGCATCCTTATGGAGCTGCTTGTTTGACAGCTCTACTTTTGTGGAGGAGGATTCAACACAGATGTGTTCACTTCTTTCTGTGAGAAAGCTGGGTTTGTTTGTAGCCAGGAAATCTTCTTTGCCATCAGACCTTATAGGTAGCTGAGGCTCCTTTCCTTTTGCAAAATTAATGCTATTAAAATCTCCATGGTAAACAGCTGCATTATTGCCACTATCCAGAGTTTTAGGTGAAACTGTGTTTGGTGCTAAAGTAGTAGTCCCAATGGTTGGTGGTCCTACAAGAACTGCAGATGAAGACGTTATAACTGTCATGCAATCATCCATAAAGGAATCATGTTTCTGATGGGGAGTGTATGGCTTTTGATGGTATATGGAATTTGAGGCTGTTTCTAGAGAAGGTGCCTGTGAAAGAGATTCTGTAAATACTGAGCCAGCTCCCGAGAGAGACATTCTGGAGGATTCAAAAGGAATGAAGCTGATATTTTTGCTGAAAAATGAATTACCATCCAATATCCCAATACTTAAGGAACTAGCAGAATTTGCTATTCCAAAAGCATCAGTACATTTTCCCTGAGAAATGGCAAAATCTTCTCCACATTTGCTCCTGCCCTCATCAGTACGAGCTCCTGCACAACAACATGAATGGCAAAGAAATTTGAAACTATGCTTAAGAATTGCTTTCGAATGGCCCAGACCCAGATCACCATAATACACAAAATATTCTTCAGCTCAGGTATGTCACATTCAAACTATTTTTACCCATAATTATTCCTCTTCTTTCCACATCAAATACAACTAAACTAGGGAAAAACACAAGCAACCATATACAGAATCAAGGAGAGATTATCCACAGAGAATGAGAGAGTTAAAGAAAACAAGGTTGCGGACGAGAGTCGTTTATCTTGCATAGGGAAAATAATTACTAGAACCCTATCTAGGTAAGTCTCATGAAAGATTTTGTTTGGCTAACTGCAAATATTACTATAATCTCAGAGAAATATGTCCCTACACCCAATGATGTCAAAAGTTTATGCGCTGAAAAGGAAGAGCAAGTCAGGGAAGTTCCCATTGTGGCAGCCTAAAATGACATCGTCAATCCACAACTTCCCAAATTATTATAGGGGGAACCTGAAGAAGGTCAACCTGTTTCATAATGTGTTGCACCTCACACTTTTGATACATTATAGGTTATTACCTTATTTGTCAAGGAAAAGATATTGATACACAACAGCATATTTCCCAACAAGTAACATTTTTTGAAACAACCATATTTTGCACATACAGACCCACTTACACTCGTATCAAACAAAAGACAAGCTACAATTAATGAGGTAATAACAATGCAAAAAAACATTATGCAATCATGTACATGACCAAAGGAAACCTTTGAAAGGAGAAAAAAGTAAACGTTGAAAATAGAAACAAACGCCACAACAAATTATGGTCAATTTTAGTGACAATCCCTTGATATTTGCAAAAATAATGCAACCGCCCTTGACAATTTAACTATGCCAGAGACTCCAATCGGATTTATCAATGACTAAATAACTTATTTGCCTTCATTTGACTGGGCCAATTCTGTTAAAATCCATTGATCGACAAATACTAAAGGAGTAATACCTTGCTTAATGTAAGGCTTGTAAACATGCGAACCAGAGCCATTCTTCTCCTCTGAGTAGGAACTGCCATCAAGTTCAATCCGCTTACTGCGCTTTGCATCGGCCAATCCAGTCCAAAAGCCACTCCACTGTGGCTTATACTCCAAAGGAGACAAGCTTTGAGTGTAATCAACTTGAGGAGATACATTCAAGCGGGAATGACCGGAAGTCGACAACAGATCATAGCTAGGTTCATTAATGGCCACCAAAGGGGAATCATCATCAACCATGGGCAAGACATAAGGATGACAATAGGGTTTAGCTTCAACAGAATAGGAAAATGCATCCCTCCCAGTTTTGGCAGTAGGGTGTAGGGTAGACCAATGACCTGAAGGGTTGATAGACCCGGAACCTGGGTACCCATTATCATTTGCTAAAGGCAGACTAGTGGTCCGTATAGAATCCACTTCCAGGTCAGGATTGGAAACAAAATCAGGTCTAGGAGCTGTAGAGTATGGATATACCCAAGTTTGATTGAAGGGTGCAGCATAGAGTGAATCATTGAAATGCACAAGCGGGTTTGAATTGGATTTGGGATTGGACCGATCAACGGTAAAAGGTGGAGCCAAAGCCGACAAATTGGAGGACGATGAGGAAGGCCCTCCACTACCCAAATACCCTACACCCATCATTCCCTTGTACAATGAATTGCTTCAACTGATCAAAACCCACAAGAAATCTAATCAGATTTAAGGTCAACAAAGTGATTATGAAGAACAATAAAACAAACATCTTCACGGAAACAAAAAAACCAAACAAGACCACATTAATTTAACACATCAAATCAAACTCATATATCATCAGATTGGTAGGAAATGATCAAAGATAATCCCTAAATTAACAGAATTGAAGAGATTACGAGGTAGATCGTACCGGTGAACAAAAGGGGGAGACCAAAAGACAGCGAGCAGAGCAGCGTCGTCTCTATCTCTTCTCCTCCTTCGAAGAGAAGTTTTAGTGAGTTGGAGACTTGGAGTTGCCACTCGCTTTTTTGGGCTTTTCTTGGATTTTCATGAAATGCGTAGGCATACATGTAATTTGACCTAAATGCTTCGGCCTCTTGGAAAATGGCAGGAAAAAGCCCAACAAATTCACATTTAATCCTCAAGTAATTCAGAGTATCTCAGTTCTTACCCGAATGGTTTAAGATTTTTGTAAGGGAGTGGCATGTTAAAGTTCGATTCTCTTAGCTCTCCTCCTCCTCCTCCTCCTCTTCCTCTATAGTATAAAAAATCGTTGCTATCAAAAAAAAATTCTCAATTAATTCATATTTTATGACTTATTATATTAAATNAGCATGTTAAAGTTCGATTCTCTTAGCTCTCCTCCTCCTCCTCCTCCTCCTCTTCCTCTATAGTATAAAAAATCGTTGCTATCAAAAAAAAATTCTCAATTAATTCATATTTTATGACTTATTATATTAAATAGTGATAATTGTTTAACACAAAATATTAGTATTATCTCAAGAAATATAATTTTTTTTTGTTCAACTATCGAGGTTGTCTAAGTCAATTATCGCACACTTCGATCCCGGTTTAGTTAAAAGTAAGTCATTCACGTCGGAGTTAGGATATTTATGAAGAATAAATTTTTCGTGATCTAATTTCAAAGAATTACTAATATTTGAATTCAAAAATGTCTAGATATAAATAATCTTTCAAAATATAGAACAACAATCAACTATATTANATTAAATAGTGATAATTGTTTAACACATAATATTAGTATTATCTCAAGAAATATAAATTTTTTTTTGTTCAACTATCGAGGGTGTCTAAGTCAATTATCGCACACTTCGATTCCGGTCCAGTTAAAAGTAAGTCATTCACGTCGGAGTTAGAATATTTATGAAGAATAAATTTTTCGTGATCTAGTTTCAAAGAATTACTAATATTTGAATTTAAAAATGTCTAGATATAAATAATCTTTCAAAATATAGAACAACAATCAACTATATTATACTCATTTTAAAACTATTTCACAGCATCTTTTGATTAGCACCACGTGCTTTGCTTAGATAACATCACAATGTACGTACAACGAAAATTTTTATCAAAGTTAAAAACTCTATATATTGCTTGGTAGTTTAGTTATGGTCCTTCATTCTTTCTTTCACCCTCGAAAGTCTATTCACTTACTCATCATTTACAGTTGAAATTTCTGACTCTAACTCAGGTTCATCTGTGAGTTCTTCTGAATCTAGGTCAATTCATCCATTGTAATTGTTGGGATCTGACTGATTAACTGGCTGTATACGAGTATGTCTATTCCCACTCCAAATTAACCTTTTGCACCACACCTTGTATATGGAAAGCTGCACATGTGAAGAGTCTAATGTCAATTGTGGAGTGCAGTTAGCAGCAACTCCCTTAAAAAGTTATCTAAGATGGTTTTGCCATCTTAAATTTGGCACAAAAAATAAATACAAAATACAATAAACGCCTTTATTTGCGTCACTTTGATTCTCACTCTTTTGATTTTGATGGATCAATCCCAAATAACCCAATTTATGTGAAAAGCCCAATCTCAATTGAAGAGTCCAACTTTATAAAGACCCGTCAAACCCAATACTATCTAAGTCTAGTCAAACTCGTCAACTTGGTTACGTCATCAAGAGAGAATACGGGAGTCTTACCTGCACCGCCGAGGAAACAGTCTATCCTCAACTCATCTTTGACCGCATTTCATGGAGAGCACCTCAATCACCTCGCCGATTGAGAAGAGGTCGTGAACTCCACCAAAATAGTTGTTTAGTTACTATAATGTAGCCCCGACCTGTTAAGGGGCCACTATAAATTATACACCCCACTAACACTTGGGGGCATCACACTTTTACCTGAGCACGACTTTCCTCTCTCTCTCAAAAGTTTGCACTTTCTGCTCTCTACATCCTTGAACTAATAAAGTACCAAGCGACCAAGGTCATTCAAAAGTGGACGTAGGTAATAATTGATCGAACTACTATAAATCTTGTCTCCTTAAATTTGTATGTTGTGTACCACTTTTGCCAAATCAAATGTTAGGTTTCTCTCTTGCCGTAGAAATATATACTTGCAGAATAAGACATTGAACTCCAGCCATGAATGGATCAACCAGTGAGGTCCCCTAGTTTTCGGTGGCCATATGTCCACACAGTTTCCTCTTTTAAGGCTCAGAATCAGTCGAAAACCGGACCTATGTAATATGTCCTGTTGCTGATCATGAGAACAAAACTAACAAGAGACAGATGGAGTCACTTCACAAAATTCCAAGAACACTCTCATCATCACCTCAAAACATGTATTAAGTTCATGGCTTTGGGAATTATTTTATTCGTAGGATACATCCGAACATGCTTTGTTGATTGGCGTTGGAAACCTGAATTGGAAACTGCCAGACCTCCCAAATTTAGACACAATTGGGAACTCAATATGCAATTGACTTAGAATTAACAGTTTTAGGTTTTATTTTAGCACTTTTGGTGGTAAACGATTGATTCATTTAAGAACCATCGAATAAATGGATAGCACAAATCCAACCAAATATGACACCAACTCGCTAAACACGACATGAACCCCCATAAGATATGAACCTTGTTATATGAGATGTTAAGTAGGTCAAGCATTGGTTAAATAGATTTTAACACAATACGACTTAAATACGTCTCAAACCAACATGTTACCAGCCCTAGATGGATCATAGTTATGTCCCCTTCTTTTTTTTTTTTTTCGTTTTGCGTAACAAGCTCATGGATCTTGAATTGAATTTTGAAATGCCACCTTTCTAAAATTCCAAGTCAAACTTTGAAACAAATAAAGCACAACTACCCACATTCCGGTTCTAAATTTGGTCAAATATCATCAATCGTTAAAATTTTCATATCTTGCCAATGGATTCATAAGAATTCCACCGACACTCGGACAATTAATGCAAATCAAAATTCAAACAGTGAAAAACTAACACAATCCAAATCCATCAACAGTTCAGATAAAAAAAAAAAATTGCTTATGAAAGAATAATCCACCCACACCAGTAATCATTTCATTACTTCACACTAGAACTGTTCTTCCAGAAAAAGGAAAAAAAACCATTAGAAAAAGCAATGTCCAGTCATTAATTCTGAAGATTTAAGCTCCTTTGGATAGTACTATAGCTCGTAGCCTATGAAAGAACGCACACTTTTATCGCATTTTCAAGAAAATGAGTAGGAATTACAGAAGATACAAAACATAATGAATGCAGAACTGTGCTAAATTTACTCTCTCCTGTACTGTATATAGGGTCAGGAAAGCAAAGAAAATTTTCACCTACCATTGAATGAAAAACTATTGCAGAGCTAAGAAGATGGACGACGAACAAGCAGAGCCCAGAAATAATGAATTCAAAAGTAAATGATGAAAGAAGAAGAGTCTGAAATGGTGGAGGAAGAACGAAGAGTCCTCTGAAATGGAACACGGATATGCCTTGGGAGGGATAGCAGGTCTCTCACCCTCACCATCACCACCTTGTACTCCTCCAACAGCTTTACCATCATCCCCACATTCATCATCTTCTCTATGTCGGTGTGAGTATACCAGTGTATATGTCTAAAACTCTTCAACTTCTAGTTATTTATGGTCCTCTTAATGGAACACTGACTGTGTAGGTAAGGCCGTAAGAGTTTGGCAAATGAGTTTGAGGGTTGTTGGGTAGGGTAACAAAGCGATATTTGTACGCCTATGCTTAAATGGGTTTTGACTTTCTTTTTCTGCTACTTGTTTTCACAGCTAGTGATGATTTGGTTTTAGATTGTGAACTTTTGGCTTATGCTTAGTCTTCTAATTATTCATTATTGTTGAAGTCAATGAAAACAGTACATTAGTATATTTTCATTTATCCCCTTGTCTATTTTTATTTTCTCACACTACCCTCTCAATTATTACATTTCTCATTTTAAACTTCCAACTACGATTATTGGTTTCACATTACTTAAACATTATAGACATTTTGTATTGCCAGTTTGGATATTTTTTGCTCATAACATGATGGACATTTGGTTTTGGGACAATGTAGAATGAATTCAAGTAATTAGTAGAGGAATATGAAAAACCCAATAGTTAAGAGAGCAAAATTAAAAAATGGGGTCGTAATCAAGGGAGTCAAAATGCAATTTATTCAGCTATTTTTTTGGTTTGACTGAATAAGAGCTTACTAAATTGTCAATTCAATATTATTTGAACCTAATTTAATGATATAATTTGTTGATATAATCATTCAATTAACAACTGATCCTAATATTATTGAAACTCACTATCAATTTAATAATTGTGATAAACTAGATTAATAAATTACATCATTATTGTTCAAACAAGTTATAGTCAATCAGATTAGTGACATGTTCCTACTACGCTGACGGAAAGCCGCATTTTACAAAAAATTCTCATATATAGTGTAGTCGGTGAGCTGAATGCTTGTTTTCGTATCCTCAAAGCACAATTTGCTGCGGAAACGGCTGTAAAAAGATCTTTTTGGCGCATGTCCATGCTAACTACAAACTTGGCTTCAAGGGGAGAGAGAGAGAGGACTAGGCCCAAAACTGCCAAACATGGAGAAAAGCAAAAAGGGTCATGAACAACCATACTTGGGGAAGATTTTAAAGAAGTCCAAGTGCTTGGGCCCTTAAGTATTTATGGCTGACCTTGAATGATGCTATTTGTATTCCATTAGAGACTGAATGCATAATGCCCATTACATCCCAATCAGTTTCACACTAGATGCGAGAAAAACCTTTATAATGACCAACTTCATTTAATTCTTTTTTCTACCTTGTTCGTCTGCTACAACTTACTTTAGAAAGAGTAAGATCTAACGAAGACTTTCTTCCAGACTTTCCAGCTCATAGACCGTCCCCTTATCAGAGCCAAAGCTTTGGCGGAGCTTCTGGGTCTGGGTCTGGGACAAGGAGAAGATGGTGACGATGGTGTTGTTTGTGATTCTTCTAATGCCACATTGTCCTCTGGATTCCAAAATCGAGCTTCTTTTCTCTTGTTCCTTATGCTTCCTAGCACATCGTACTTGTTGCATATTCCCCACACTGTCACCTTCTGCTGACTAAAATCCACATTTACAGAGTATATACCTGCCAATCAACCAAAATATAGGATTAGGAGTGTCTTAAATGTATATAAAACACCCAGTCCTTAGTAACAATGAGTTTGATATACTTGTGAATTTTCCAAAATGGGTATAGAGGGATCATTATCATACATCGGTCGCGCAAAACAATATCGCGCAATACACATGAAATGTTAGATAAAAGATAAGTTGGATATGAGGAAAGATTTAGATTGTCGTTGCATAAAGAAACAATGACTCGAATGATTTGGTCAAGACATATGATACGTCTCCCAAAATAACCATGAGTCAATAGAGACTTGTTAGTTTACATCGGTCTCGAAATGAAGATGGCTGGTCGGATATGACTCCTTCGAGTCTCACTGATGTCGATGGATACTTGGAACCATGACAAACTCGTTTTAGGCTTTAATCATTTCACAAATATAGTTGCATAGTTAGTGTGACAAGTAATTGCATGTTTTAATTTACCTTTGAGATGGGCTAATGCCTTCTTAACTTTACTCTCACAACCATATGAATACAGAGGTACCATCATTTCTACATACTGTGCCTCCACATTCTTGCTTGCCAGAACAATTTGGAGGTCTGCCATTGGAACCCCAAGCTTATCAAACCAACGATGAATCTTGATGTTTTCTGCAGTTGATATTGTCATAGAACTTGAAGTAAGATGGTGGTTATATATAGGATTTTTCAGGGTGGTTGGGATAGACTACATAAAAAGCAGCAGACACAGAACACATATTTCCTCAAAAAAGTCTCTTTAGCTTTTCCTTTTTCATTTCTTAAATTTCTTCACGTTATTGCTTATCCTTTAATGAACATTTGGGATTGGGCTTAAGTTAGATCAGAGGTTTCTATTCAAAAATTCTCTTAATTGAGCCCTTTTTTTGTTTCAGAGGACGTGGATCATGACTAGGACGACGACGATAAAGATGAATTGGTCATCATCTCTGTTAGACGTCAATCAAAAAGCTTTCCTCTTTCCATAGGAATGAACAGTTCTAATAGATTTGCTCCCATGTGGGATGTGTTGCTTAGCAAAGAAGGTTGCCTCTGATAAGTTGACACTTGATCAAAAGAGGCCACTAATCACCAATTTTTGGTCACTGGATCCGATGTTTTCAATCCTATTTAATATACAAATTAATGGACTATTTTTGTAGTTGGAGCCCTTGACTTTTATGTCTAAATAGAACAATGTTATCTTTGCGCCTATTGTAATCCTCTACTAAAGAGATAACAATCTGCATTGGGTGTTTATTGTGCATTGGTTAAATAACTAGTCAATAATGCGATGAGATACTCAAGGCATCACCATTCATGGGAGTCATGGTGGGAATTTCCGCCATGCATGTGCTAACCTTTTTCCTTTCCCTTTTCAATGCGCCTCTTATCTTTCTGCTTCTCTCTTTTTGGTTTAACTGTTATGAATGTTCGGATCAACTTACGCATACCTCAACTAATTTATTTTTTGATTCGGTCAAAAATAAGTCATCTATCCGAGACAAGAATATCCATGATAGATAAATTCTTAATATGTTTATTTTTTNAGATGAGATACTCAAGGCATCACCATTCATGGCAGTCATGGTGGGAATTTCCGCCATGCATGTGCTAACCTTTTTCCTTTCCCTTTTCAATGCGCCTCTTATCTTTCCGTTTTTCTCTTTTTGGTTTAACTGTTATGAATGTTCGGATCAACTTACGCATACCTCAACTAATCTATTTTTTGATTCGGTCAAAAATAAACCATCTATCCGAGACAAGAATATCCATGATAGATAAATTCTTAATATGTTTATTTTTTAATACACAAATCATATTGTGGGCTGTAGAAGTAGTTGCTCTAAAGGCAGGTAAGTAAGGGTTGCTTTTTGAATTACCCAATTTTCAGTCACTTTTTTTTGGCCAATGCCAATTCGGCCATGTGGATACAGGAAGAAGTAGGGTTTATCCGTTAAGTTCAAAGAATAACTTTTCCATCAACTCTCCTTCGAAATTGAAGACCCATCAAGGAAAAGAAGTTGTAACAATGACTCTNCGTGGATACAGGAAAAAGTAGGGTTTATCCGTAAGTTCAAAGAATAACTTTTCCACCAACTCTCCTTCGAAATTGAAGACCCATCAAGGAAAAGAAGTTGTAACAATGACTCTATGATCCTTAGCCATGTTTCTTGTTTACTCCCACTTAACTTATAGGGTTAATATACCGTTGATTATTACATGTTTCGAAATTCTATATTCAAAAAATAGAAAATTAAACTATTTTAAATAATATATGTTTAATGTTTATACACACGATCTTGTTTTGAATTCTCAAAGTAATATAACGTGTCGGTGTTGATGACTCATAAAGAAAAATAAAACGGATTGTTGGAGTTTCAGTTTGAATAAGATGTGTCAGAAGAATATTAATCTTCAGTCTTGAAATCTGCAACCCATCATAGAATATTTAAGTATTCAACACATCAACCTGACTCCAACTATAAACCTGGCTTGTTTCTTATGGTAACTTTTGCATGTTTGTTAGCTTAATCAACCTAATTAAAAGGTACTAATCTAGTCAGCTACTAATGGCCATGTCATTGGTTAGGACTACAATGCTACAGATTGGACAAATAAAACAGATCTGGTTGCATCACTACCACCACCAAAACCATTGCCATGTTAGAGAGTTGGTCCACTGGAACCCATCTGCTGGCTTATATAGAGAAAAGATGACTCAGAGATCATTACATATGTAAAATTATGGTCCCACCATGTGTAACCCACGCTTCTGATTCTGATCAGAGAATCTGCAAAAGTTCCAAACAGATCTGTTTTATCCCATCTTTGCTCATGTGACTTCCACAAACCCTAGCATTAGCATTCTCCTAAGTTATGCTTGGCAGATTATAATTTACACGTAATTAACAAAAGACTGCTCGAATGTAGACAAAGTTATAATAATTAATAATCTGAGGGCATTTGTAATCTTAAATTTAATCCCTAGTTTCGTCGTGTACGTCTGCTCATTTTTTTAGGATCTCTCGCTAGCTCCAGGAGCTCTCGACAAGAACATTAATTGAAGCCAATTCCAGTCCTTCTAGGGATGGGAACCGGGTAAAGTCATGACACTTTTTTATGTGAGTTACACGAAAGTTAAATGCACGTATACTTATTACATTAGTTTCTCAAATTAGATAGAAAAAAAAAAGTCGGATGCACTTCATATACAATACACTAGGTCCCCAGGCCAAGTATAGTACATTATATATAGAATAAAAACTTAATTAAGTGAGTTAAAAATCGTTTTGTAATCCAATAATCAATTAGCACTACTACTCACCATAGCAACTAAGGACAAAGATCATTGATATTATGTAAAGAATCCACAAGCCAAATACCAAGAGTCCTCAGTAATTGGGTTTGTAAATAACCAGCAGTCTAATGTGTACCCATAGCCCTATCAATTGGCTTTTCTTAAAGGAGAGTCAGGGTCTGCATTTTAAGGGGAAGGTTGATAGTCCTCCATGAGTGAGCCCATACTAGTTTGGCACATCCAAACAAATCATGTCACCAAACCACCTCATCTGCAGGATATATGTCCATGCAGTATTTATAAAAATGATCTCTATACACTGGTGCGGAGTACCATTAAATTTCTAATTTCTTACATGTTTGTATACTTAGACCTATGGGTCTACCAGAGTGGTAATTCTCTCTATTTGGGCACAAAAGAGTACCTGTTCGAATCCCCTATAATAGTTCAAAAAAAAAAACATGTTTGTATGGTTGTTTTCAAAACAATTTGTATAACATTTTTACATCATCTATTCCCTTCCATTCCCACCCACTCCAAACCTGGATACATAACAAAAATAGGAACAAATCAACGACTTGTCGGGATAGCAATATGGATAATGTTACAGGAGAAAATGATTCCAACAAAATGGAGATCAAATGATGTGAACATGATATTATGATTCTTTTGATCTCACTTTCACATGATATTAGGAGTCACAACATTGGATTTTATTTTTTGACGAATCTAACATCACTCTAATAACCTCTCTCATCATAGCAATGAAAAGACACAGAACTATCCACCAAATTACTATTTATGTTCTCATGCAATTATTGGAATCATACAATAACATTTGATAAATGTAAATGTTGATTATATAATAGAACAGGCATTAGGGTTTTCGTCAGAGAAGAGCTGAGGTGGTGGGATTCTCTCAATGACGTAAAGAGGTTGATAATAATACATCATTTTTTGCATGGTTTGCTCATCATAAATGGTGCTGATCTCTCCTTCCATCTTGGCCTCTTCTTTGTTTTCACCACCTTTCTCTTCAACAGCCTTATTATCACCATTGTTGCCCTCATCACCACCTTCTTTCTTTCCTTCTTCAGCTGGTTTTTGACCACCATCTTTGTTCTCAGAAGGTTCTTCCTTCTTCTCTTCGGGCTTCGGTTCTTCCGCTGGTTTCTCCTCTTCTTTTTTCTCTTCTGCTTTTGCTTCTTCTTGTGGCTTCTCTGGTTCAGGCTGCGGGACAATTTTGGCTTGCTTTTTGGTGCGTCTATAGACATAGTCCACGAGTTTGTTCCCATCCATGGTGCCGGTAACTATGACTTTCCCGGAACTGAGATCTGTCTCAGCTGTTCTCACTCCTGTAATGCACCAAACACCAACCGTGAAACACTTCATTATTGTTATCAGCTGCAAGTCTATGTTGATAAACACCATGTCAATGGGTATGGGTAGCCATATGTAACTGGACATCACAAAAGGGCAAAAGTGGGTTTTTCTTTGGGGGGTATAAGGACCAAAGTTAGGGCTGTCAGTTGGTATTGTCGTGTCTTTTTTTTCAAATCATGTAAATTGGGTATTACCGGTCACTGTTGTATCGGGTTTGTGTTCAGTATAAGTATTTATCATCTAAACCCGAAACAATTTTATATAGATTATGGATTGCATCTAGAATTGGACAACCCTAATAAACATCAACATGAAACACTAACCTTTCATTTTGAGAATCTTTCTCTTGAGTTGTTGGGCGCAGGCCTCACAGTGCATGTTCACATTAAGTTCCACAGTTGTTAATCCACTCACCTGGAGCAACATGAAAAGGCCTTTGTCAAAAAAGGAAAATGAAAAATCATAGATATTATTATTAATTGATGATGTCCTTTCGTCTTCTATAGACTATAGTTTAAGGTGGTGTACTGGACCTGTGAAGCAACAACTTCTGGTATAGGTTCTCCCTCGGCGGCCGGTAATGGGGACAAGACTTTTACTCTTCTCTTTGTTTTCTTCATTATCTTTGTACAAACAGCTTGAGGCTCAACCACTCCCTTTATAGTCACTTGGTTTTGTGTCATATCCACCAAAACCTCCTCAACACCTATTAATAACACCACAATGCATGGTTTAATACATTAAATTACTATGCTGACCAAATTTGATAACCAAATCAAGAGCCTAAATGACATGACAGCATATTATTTAAAATTTTTATTGGGACTCAAATAACATGACACCAAATAAAGAAATTCAAGTCAGTTGTCATGTCATATAAATTTTTGATTCTAAAATTTAGTCATGCCCGAGAGAGAGAGAGAGAGACCTCTAATCCGCAAAATGGACTTCTCGATCTTCTTTGCACATCCCACACAGTGCAAATCTACAAATAAGACGAAAGGCAAGGGTGGCTTAGCCTCTTCTTTCTTCTCCTCTGTTTTCTCTTCTTTCTTTTCCTCTGGCTTAGCTTCTGCTGCTGCCTTAGCTTCTTCCTGTACAAGTTTCATTCATATACAATGAAGAACCAAACTTAATGGGCCCAAATAAAACATAAGGAATAACAAAAATTCAATGTAAAAACCCACAGTCACCTGCTTAGCTTCTTCACCCATTGGCACAATCAATATGACAGAGAAACCAAACTATATTTTCTCACTACGAGAAATACTAAGAAGAATTGGAAGAGCAGAAGAGCGGAGAGAGAGACCAAAGGAAGAGAATCAACTGCTTAAATATGTAGGAGTGAGACTGTAATGGATGGACGGTGCGATTATTACTCTATAAAGCAAACTCTGCAATGGCAGAGCACATGCAGGGCCACTAAGAAAGAACCCTCTTAATTAATTCTTTCTTTTTGCATTGTAAAGCTGTTTGGGGGGGGGGGGGGGGGGGGGGGGGTTCCAAGGGAAAAGGGGGGGAAAAGTTTTTAGGGGGGGGGTGAGC